AAGATTCAATCAGATTGGTGCTGAACAACCCAAAAAGCCAAATTCCACAAAGAGGCCCAGGATAACAAGACAACATCATAAATCTGTCCACGATACCCTGGCGCCACAAGTCTGAAGCAAGTCCACCAACTAGCAGTTTTGAGCAGCTCACAGCATTAAAACAAAAGAACACTTATTGATAGTTCCAACTCAGGAAGGAGTTTGTCAAATTTAGGGCAAGTAACCAAGATTGATGGTCAAAGAGATGCACAGCATGACCATCACATGTAAATCCATGATAGTAATCACGAGCGAAAGCCTTTCCTCGGATTGACTTCCCCCTCACCTAGGAGACAAGAACCAGACTGAGATTCCTTCTGGTCCCCTTTTGACCTCGGTTTCTCACAGAACACACCCTCACGTTCACAGAATGGCAGAGAGACTGCCTTTACATGTATATATGAAGAGTTCAGATGCAAAAGCCTCTAAGTGCCATCTGAAATTTTCACCTAAAATGAGCATTTTTATCAGGCTCCTATATTTATGTTCAGTTATTTCACTTTAATGGCATAGAAAAGGACCTATACATTGCCATTAAAGTGAAATTACTGAACCTAAGCATAGGAGCCTGATAAAAATGCAAATTTTAGAAGACATTTTCAGACGGCACTTAGAGGCTTTTGCATCTGAACTCTTCATATGCACCAAAATGATGCTAAAAGGACTTATGAGCAACTTTCACTTCTATGCATAAGTCTATATCATGTATGTAACCCACACATTTGACTATCATGTCCTAATCACTTATTGTGTATGTATTTTGAATAACTATTGAACAGTTTATAGGATTATATTCATGTTGACTTTTCATGCTTTAAACGTTTCTATGAATCAGTACTTTGTAAAATGTATTATATTCTTGTTATAGAAATCATGCCCAAATTATCATAGCAACACTAAGACAATGTCTAACTGGTCAAGACACCATTTGGGATGTGTCTAACAGCCCGGTTTAAGGTTTAAATAAATACTCAGGACACCATCAAATTATGCTTTTAGTCATGCTTTTAGCTATGCTTTTAGTCATCACTTTTAGCCATGCTTTTTGCCCGTGAATTCGTCGAGCGCCATTCCAGCGTGCTTCGGCCTGCACGCCCGCTGCTACTTAACCACAATGAGAAGAAAACCATCTAGTCTCGTTACTTCTATTCTTCTACTTTAATTTCTCTTTTTTTCCTTTGAGAGTGTTTCTTTTCGAGAGTTTTGTGTTCTGAGTTAAGTTTCGCCGCAATGCCGTGTCTCCGAGTTCACCTCGATCACCTCGAGGCCTCAAAACTTCAACCAGCCCACAACTCCGCATCTTCAGCCAACGCCCAACCACTGGCTTCCCAAGACGTCACTTCAACGACTACTGAACTTCCAGCCAATCAGCAACCT